TCTCTAGAGGATGAGAAGTCTCGCCATGAGGCTGCCTTGTCAAGGAAGGATGCCGAACTGCAGGCGGCATTGACCGAGGTGAACACCCTTAAGACCGAGAAGGAGAACTTACTGCTGGCCCATGACCTTACGTCGGTTGAGCTGGCCAAAGTTGCGGAGGTGGCCAAAGAAAGGGATGAGCAGCTCGCAAGATTAAAGGCTGAGCTTCAAGCCGTCCGTAAAGATCGGTCCGACAAGGATGCAGAGCTGATCCGAAGCCGTGAGGCTCATGAAATGGCGATGAACAAGCTCCGACAAGACATGACCGTCGCCGCCGAGCTGAAGTTCCAGGAGGGCATTGAAGTCGGCAAGAAATCAGTAGCCGTGCCCGACGACGCAGTTGATGCCGGGGCAACAACAGAATGGGAGTTGGAGCTGAATGCCGCCTTAGCTTTACGATGGGTGATAGACAGGGTTGACAGCGGTGTGTATACCATAGACGAACTGCGCATTTATTTGCTTCATAAGATGGAGAAATATGGCTTCAACCCGGAGATGAAGAGCGCCCATATCCCGGCCGACCAGGACGAGAGGGACTTTGCCGACCGACTCCTAAAGCAGAAAGAGAGTCGGATGTTGGAGCTGGACATGGTCCCCTTGTCGGAAGAGCGAAAGGCGAAAATCAGGCGATCGTTTGTCGACATGGTTCTTGAGGTGGAAAAAGTCAAGAAGCCTGAGATGGCCAACATATGTGTGGAGACAATTGCTGAGGCTTTTGTCACCGAGACATTTGAAGGCTTATCGGATGAAGAGCTCTTGGGTGCAATCGTTGGCTATGCTGCGCGCAAGGTGGCAGAGGATGATGCCAAGGCCAAGGGATGGGTGATCGACCCAGTCCTGTCTGATGATGATCGTGTCTTGCATGAAGACGGCGACGTTGTCATGATCAAAGAGAGCGACGTCGTCCGTGCACTGGAAGAGAAGGAAGAGGATGTCGTTCAGCGCTTGAGCCAAAGACTGATTGATCACTTAGATGGCGTTGAGAAGGGGAAGGCTGAGATGGAAAATCCTCAACTCTCTGATGCCGGAAAAGCGTCGACATCGGGGACCAAAGAAAACTGATGTCTTTATGTTATTTTGTTGTTTATTTTTTCTTTTTTGTACTGTTATTTGGTTTTGTAATGGAATATGAATGTTTGATGAATGAGATGTTTGTTTTATGTATGTTTTATTGATTTATCACGTCTACTGACGTCGGCGTAATCTTACAGCGCTTCCGACATTAAACTTGTCAATTATCGGAATCAATTTATAACTTATCCGACATCTGCAAACTTCTTAATCGAACAAATCATAAGAGATTTGCTATTTACTGGAAATATTTATTGTAAGCTCACCAAATCATCGTTGGGATTCGGTATCGTTGAGCATAAGCCTCCCCAAACCATCTTCAGGGCTTGGAAGTATCCGGCTTTGCTGCATTCGGCTAGGTCATACCATCTTCAGGGCATGAAACACGTTTAGCCTTAGCAGCGAGGACCGATTTATTGTGGTCCGAGTGATCGAACAAATTAGTGGGGTTCGTCACACAAATTTTATTAACAACAAAACGCGATTCTTGTACAACAGTAGGA